ATTTTTGTGTTGAGATAAGAAGATAGTATTATTCAGAGCTTCTGCTTTTACATGAATTCATTTCAGTTCAATTGAATTTGTTCTCCTGTTATTGCAAAAAAAGCGTGTGTGTCTGTGTGTGAGAGAGAGAGCGATGGCTGTGTGTCACCCCTTTACTTTCTTTTAGTTTTGGTTTCACCCAGCTTAACGCTGCTGTCTTCCAGCTTCACAAGGCTAAACATAAAAAAAGGTGGTTGAAAGCGACTGTTATGTGGGGATGGCTGCAGGTCGCAGTTTAAAAATACTTTCACCCCAGACTCTACAGCAACAGCCTGATCTCCACATAATGTGTACATGGAGTGTGTATATGTCCGTGTTGTGTGTGATATATTGTCCTTGGTGTCTGTGCCCGTTTTCCATTGAGTGTATTTGTGTCTTTCATATGTCTCTGCATGTCCTGCAGATTTATGCATGCATGCTTGTGTTTGTCGGTGGTTGAATAGTAGCCTATTCTCTGGGTTTGATTACAGTTTTGTAGTATATTAGCCTACTTTATATGAGGATTTGCATTTCTGCTCCCTTTTATTTTGCTCCATTACAGAGAAATAGAGAGATATTGACAGAAATGTTGTACTTTTTGCTTCTCTACTGTGCATTTATTTGCCAGCTAACTATTACATAATTTGCACAAATGAAAAAATAAAAATTAAATGCAAAATAGTTTATAAAAATAGGATATATTTTGCATAGCAACCCAAACAGTTTATAAAGTAGTTAAAGTAGTAGTAAAATGTTGCTTACACTTTTAAATATTCCCATAATATAAAGATGATGAATATAACACTGAACAGAGCCATATGGAATAATAAGTAATTGACTTTTGATACTCTCAGTAAGCTATAGGTTGCTCCTAATGGTTTTATATCTTTACTCAAGTCAAATGTTCAATGCAGGACTTAATGGTAATGTAGTATTGTATTACTGGGGTATTGGTGCTGTAGTAGAAGACCTAAATATCCACCTGTCTCATGTTGATCTATATCTGTGTATTTTTCTTTCTGCGATGTCAGGCTGAGCTTGTAAACACAGCTGGTAAAGACATTTCAAGTGTCAACACCTGGCATGTCCCGGTGTCTCAGGCAGGTGAAGTGTATTTATTAGATGACTCATTGTTACTCCGGATGCTCCTGGGCTGGGATTTTGAGGAAGTGTCAATGATATTAGAATAGGATAAGAAGAATTCAGTGCGTTGTCAGAATTGTTTGTCACTGTTTCACAACAGGAAAGCTTGGATGAGGACGCTAAAAGATCAACTTTTGAGATGTTTACTAATGAGAAGCTATCTCTTCACTGTCAGTTTATATTAAGAAGTTCATTAAGAGAAAAACATACACATCTAATATTTCCAATGCAGGAAAGGAACAGCGATCAATATATTACAAACAGACACTGATTTAGTCAGTTTCTGCTCACACACACAATCATTAAAGTAGGATTTTTTTCAGTCTCTCTTTTCTGCTAAGACTTCAAAGCCAGCACCAGAAAACATCTGCGAGGTTGGGCTATTTTTTTTTTTTTTAAACTGGATTATCCTAAATAGTAAACAAAGCTCTCAATTAGCTTGTGGCCTGTTTAGTTTATTGCACAAACACTGGGTGGTGGTATGCAGGCATATGGCCTGTTATATGAAAGGTTGTGTGATCACAATAAAAATGGACAGACATCAAAACAAAAAAGAGACTGTTCCAGAGGGTAGCTTGAATATCTCTTCAACCTCAGTATTTCTTTCATCATCATTACAAAACAATTCCACTCTGTCACTATACAGTGATCATTATACTATGTAACATGTATATTCTGTATCTGCTTTTTACATCCCTTCATTGAAAATATCACTTTTATATTGAATAAAATATTCTAACCCAATTTTGGGCCATCTCATTAAGTAGGAATTTCCAATTTACTTAACACAAAGTTATACTCAACTCTTCATCAACATGTTGAAACATTTTGTCTGAACTTAAATGTAAAACCGAGTTCTGTTTGTTTTAGCAGTTTGACTGCACAACATGCATTTATATAGTCCCTCAACACTTGAATTGTTAATGATCGTTGGTTTTATCAGTTACTATAGAGCTGTTTTGAAACTTCAAATTCTAGCAATGGGAGGAACTAAGCTGATAACGTCTGAGGTTTTGTGATTGTCGCATTTTGTGAGAATCAGCAGTTTAATCACACCATCTCACTGCACACCTCAATGTTGCTCAAAAGAGTGTGGTGATGTGTTTTTTTGGTACACAAGCCAAACTAACACTAACACACAGAACTATTTTCCAGAGAGACGCACTGAATTAAAGTCAGTCAAAACCAGATTTCTGTCATTAACAAATCTGACTTGATTTCTTTACTTGATTGTGTGTGTGTAGCTCTTTCTGGTTCCACACATAGAGATGCCATCATTACTCACTGCCAAGACATCTGAGACATCTTCAAATGTAGAACTGCATACATGCTGTATATGCACAATGTGGAGTGAGAAGAAGAGCAGAGAATGTGACATACTGTACATATAAAAGCAAGTCATTCAACGAGTGGGTTTGCACAAACATAGTTTTGAGAACATGGTACTGTATCTAAAAACTGTTTCAACAAGATGCCCTGGACTGACTATACTCCGTCTGTATTGGAGTCTACGCTACACAGAGAACGCTTCCAGAAAGCATGTTGTGTTCTTCTTCTCTTCCTCTTCTTTTTTTTCTGCGTCACTGGTACCTATGTCTTGTCTGTGTCAGACAAGAAGAGAAGAGAAGAAGACCCAGAGAGAGAGAGAGAATCGTTTGTTTCAGCTGAAACATCGGTATGATGCTGCAGGAAGTGGTAACGTCAGTTGCTATCATTTTCCCTCAGGAAATGACTGCCTGCCCAGCTTCACCTCCACACACACGCATAAACACACACTTACACACATCACTACACGCAAAGCACTATTTTCACACATACAAAGAGACAGTAAACACACAATTGTAAACATATATGCAGATACAACAGGATCAGTGCAGCAGGCCAAAGTGATAATGAAAACACAAGACTTATCTGGACTCTACAGAGGCCGTTGTGAAGGGGAAGTGGAGCAGTGACTGATATTCACAATAAGCCAAGTAATGAGGGGTTGTTTTTTTTTTAAACACAAAAAATGTAAGACTTGCTGCGTTTTGCATCTGTTCCTAGGAGTGTGTCTCTGGACATAGCGATCTGACAGCACCCTGAGTGTGTATTCCCAGATAAATGATGCATCACAAGTTCATAAGGAGGACAAAACTGCAAACGGCAGCAAGCCTACCACTTCGCATGTTTTGTTTCTGGAATTGTGAAACCGTGAAGAGAATCAGTATTTTCATCTACTGTAGACTTATTATCAACATAATAATCTTTGTTTAATAAGGCAATATCATTAAGATCAAGATCTCTTTTGTAAGAGAAGCTTGAGTGCAGCAGCGGAGATAAGACACACAACACAGCCTGTCACAAGCACGTAAACACAGCGTCAGAAACAATCACAAAAAGGTCCAAAGGTTTAAATGAATCCAAATGGGATCAGAGATTAAAGTTTTAAAGTAATTTTATTTTAAGCCCACTTCTTCTGTCCGTAAAACACATATGACATGAATTGTAACCATCAACAGGAACTGCAGGTCACCTGATTTTTCAGCAGGCACATCTGCTAAGTCTTCACACAAAAACAAATCTTACATCAGCAGAAGTTCAGCAGGTGCGTCAATACACGCTTTGACAAGCATCAGAAAGGTTATGGGGAGCAGAAATAAAAGCAGGGATTGCAGGTTTGGATGCCATGAAATTGTTTCCATCGCGTCACAATTATTTTTTTGACTTGCATGCCTGTGTGTGTTAGTGAGAGAGAGGGGTGGGATGTGTATGTTGATGTTCATAATTTGATTCAATTTGTAAATCTCAGTCAGTCAGTTCTCTTGAGCTTTTGTGACACTTTTCTCATGTCTTAAAGGAGAAACCACATAATAAAGGCTTAATGAGATGATGTGACCTGTTTCACATACCCAGAATAATTTACATGTATATATCTGCAACATTGTTCTTCCATTCCATATTTATATATGTCTACATTTATTTATGTTGACTGTATGTTTGTCTACATGTAGCACCTTATCACTACATGAAATTCCTCGTATGTGTAAAACACTACTTGGCAATAAAGCTCCTTCTGATTCGGATTCTTCTGATATCGGACTAATACACAGACTGAGAAGGAAAGACAAACTAAAGGCAAAACTAACAAAGCGTACGTATGAAAGCATCTGCCTTTGCCACGTTTCTCCTCTCATCTGTCTCGGTTCATATCCATACAGAAGATTTGCTTAACCTTAGGACACTGACTTGGATGGCTATGGCGGTAATAAGTCCTGTCACCATGGTGTCACCAGACTTGGCCAAGTATCTATCCTCTAGATCAGACACTGTCGTGCAGGAGTACTTTTGCCACAAAGCCACAATGCCCTCAGAGAGGAAGCAGCAGAGTAGGGCAAAGTCGCACGGCTTCACAGTTAACAAAAAATTGGTAATGCGTCATCTCTAACATCTGATCTCTGTGGTCAGTGACACTCACATGGACAGCTATTGTGTTTCTTAGGACCTTTTACTATTAAAATGTCCCTTTATCCGCTGCCAGCTGTTACACATGTATGCAGTTGTGTAAATGTACAAAACACTTTAGCAATATGGGAAACATGCAGGACACAACGGTGGCAGATGAACAATTTAAAGACATAATTGGCCAAAAGATAAGCTGAGATGAACATCACCACATTGTTAAAGTCGGTTATGGAGATAAGACACCGTTTTACACACTTCTCTACTGAGACAATTTTAGCCTTTTACTCAGGGAGCCACTCATTAAATCAACTTGGTTATATGGATAAATATCAGAGAAACGACTGTGGACCTATTTTACACCCAGCCTCTCAATGCAAGTAAAACGCACATATTGGTATTGTGATGCAAGTGTCCATTACTTCATTAGTTTATTATCGAACATACATACAGCATCAACTGTACCTAACACAATGACAACGTGATTCCAAGACAGGAAGAAAATCACCAGGTTCAATTGGACGAGGCTAGCATCATGCAGATTTTTACATCTAATTAACCAGCATCAGTGTGGTCAAGTCCACTTACTGTCACTGGGACGGTTGTTTGTGACGGCTCAGGCAGCAACTTGTCTGTAGTACAATCTGGATCAACTCTACTGTCTGTACCTCTGGCTGCCTTTTAATTAAATTAACCTTGGTTACAGTGGGACTTTACATTTGTTTTACTATCAGAGACATAAAGTAGCTGAAGAAACAGAAGTTTAGTGTGCTGAAGTGTTTTGTAGAAAATAAAGCCTCATTAAATTGATTGAACCCAACATGATTAACAATAAAAACAAGTAACAAGCAGACTAGGGTCACAGAGGACACCTAAATAGTAAAATGAAAATCGGTTATGTACATATCTGCCGTAAGGATGTTTTGGGACTCGTTTTGTTCAAGTCTGACATTTGTGTGTTAAATTTCTTTACTCCAGTTGAGAAGAAAGCATTGAGGCAAAGAAACACAGCTCTAGGTCAATTCCCATTCAATCTGTTAAAACTGTTCCAATTATTTAAATAAAAGTAAACTGACCACATTTTACTACTAGTACAGAGGATAGCACATACAGTATGCTCGGCCTGTAATGTGTTGTCAGTTCTTGTGAAAGCAGCATGCCCACTGCACCAAAAAAAAATGAATAAAAAGAGGCCATCACCAATACATATAAGCAAGTCAATCTGCCATCCAGTTTCTGTAATTGTTGGGAGTGTTCATTGGCTATAAGGCGGTAAACTTAGATTGACTTGGCTTATTTGGATGGATTTAACACGATTAGTCAAGTCACTCAGTGAACAGTGGCTTCCTTCAGTTGTTTGTAGTCATCTTTGCCTTAAGGCGGTTGATTTTGAGAGGGAGCAGATCAGCCATCTCCTTACTCAGCTCCAGCTCTGTCTCCACAGCGGCTGCTGCCTCCGGGTGGGCCTCACAATACTGCACCACGTATCTAGACGACAGGCGGAGGATGACAAAGGTTTGTCAACATATTATACACATAAACAACATGACAGCTGGACGTATGTTGACTGGAGCACAGCCTCATTCCATTCATATTAACTGCTTTCAACAAAATCCTTTCTATTTCACCAAATACCGTCTTTCATTCTGTTTTCCTTTCATGTTAACGTCAGGAATACTCGAGTTTGGATGTATCCCCATAAATTAACAAATATATCTGCATACTTGTAGTTTTCCAGAGACTTGTTGAGGTTGTCCAGCTGAGCAGAGGGTAAAGAGGAGATCAGCCTGCTGTGGAGTCGGGCCACTCTGAAGCGGGCCACCAGAGCCGGTCTGAGCACCTCCTCTTCAAGGTGCTCCGGAGGCTTCCCCTCTGGAGAACACAGAGAGTCTAGGAACATCTGGAAGTATCTGGAGGGGAGAACAGAGGATTTCAGATAATTTAGATATAAGTGTAGATGCACAGATACACACTGGTATGCCCACACAGACATACACTCACTTGGCAGAGGCAGAGCAGAGATGGTTGAATTTCTTAATGGTGTGATTATCTAGAGCCCGTGTATCTGCCTGTAAGTTGGCCAGCGTCAGTTTCAGGTCCATCATTTCATTGTAGATCTCAGCCAACTCAAACATCAACTGTCTGCGGATCAATAGGTAGTACTGGGAGTTCAAGTCTGTAGAGCAGCAGAGTCAGACAAAGTCAGATTTAATCAATTATGTCACCTTGCACGGACATTCGGGTTGAACATTTACAAATTATTTTGTTTCGTCTTTTTCTATTTTGCTTTATCTTGTGAAAATATTTTTTCAAAAGAACAAATGAAACCTGCAACTCAAGAACAAAGTTAGTGCAGTACCAATGCAGATTGGCTCTAACATGTCAACTCGTCGTTTGTGCATTTTGCAGCGCCGCTCCAGATCCTCTTCAAAGAAAGCCAGGCCCAGGAACAGAGCGCTGTGATCCTGCAGGATCTCTATGTGGTCCGTCACATAGCCGTCCATCTGAAAGTACTCCTTGGCCTATAAGAGTGAGTGGAGGATGGAGAGACAGTTCACCATGTTGACACTATACACTGTGGGTTCAACGCTTAGGGCAAATGTAGACCGATCTGGATGAAGTTTTTACTTGCTCAGAAAACCTGGTTTTGTGCTCCTTACACAATTTTCTCTCATTGCCCTTCTTCTAAGAGGCAACTCTGCCATTAACACCAGCTTAGCATACATACTCATGTCATCCCAGTGCACATTTGTTTCTTGAGGAGAATATTCAAGACGACAATATTGTCGAGGACTTTAGCAACAGTAAAGATGCAAACATGCAGCTCTCAGCTTTCATTGACGTGTCAAGTCAAGTTCGGTCAAGTTTATTAGTTCAGCCCAGTATAAACACACAATATCTCAATGGGCTTCACAGACCCAAACATAAATGTCAAAAATCAAAAGCATCTGTTTTTATTGCATAGCTTGATTTTTTTTAATCACAATTTTATTTATTAAATTCATTTTAAAAAGAAAACTTGCTCATACAACTTTTTATTTGTGTAAGAGTGTCTAAGTTGAGGATATGATGGTCCAACCCTGTTTCTGTGTGTATATACCTGTGTGACATAATTCTGTCCCACCAGAAATACACCTCTGGCCTCAGTGAAGTCCAAAGGAAGCAAACAGGGAACCTGGAAAACAGAGAATCTCATCTCATCTACTGCAATAATGATACAGTCATTTTAAATATGTATTTAATGTCCGATTTGTCCTCGCTTGTTTATGCTTTTAATATGCAGTGTTACTATCACAACTACCAGCAATAACATACTAAAATCTGATATCTGAAAAAAATAGCTACTGTTATAACACAGGGGCTATTTTATATTGATATCAATAAAAAGGGAAGCACTTCTGCTGCTACTAACCGAGATAATGATGATTTTTGATAACAAGTAGCAGCACAACATGATATGCAACACTAATAATTATAACAAAACCATTACTAGTAGCACAAGCAGTAGTATCAACTTTTTATAAAGTATTATGAATAAATATTATTATTTGTAATTAATTTAACAATTCCCCCCCCCCATTCCTGAATTCTTATGCCACTTGTTAGATAAGCAGGAACAGCTAAATGTTGCAGTTTACTTCAAAAAGTATTTTATTTACTACTTTTAGATGCAGTCTAGCAATGATGCTGCTGAAATAAAACTCTGACTGACATGTGATGTGCAGTCTCTAGAATCTGTCTCTGTAAGATTCAACTTGTCCCACTTGTCTAGTGTAAGCAAATAAAAATACAACATAATATTGAATCACATTACGATAGTATCGAAATGTGAGATAAGCATATCTGACCCAGTATCAGAAACAGTATACAGACCTTCTCTTCATGACTAGCAATGGAGTCAAAGGTGTCTTCAGAACCGAACAGCAAAGCAGTCTTCCTTCCCTTCTCTTCCTCCTCCTCCTCAACTCTTCTTGCTCTCTTCATCTCTTCTTGACGATCAGTATCCAGTTCCCCAACGTTGTCCTGGTAACAAACAAATGATCAAGCACATTTTAAGAGAGATTGACACACACACACGGTTTAGACAAAAACAGAAAAGTTACAGTGATTAAAAAAAATATATTGTTATGTAGCGCTATTTGTTTCTGTTACATAATAGACTAACTGTTACATAATAGTGGTGGTGTCGCATGATGTGGGACTACAGTCACATGACTTGTACTTGAGTTTAAAGATTTTATAAGAACAGCCACACATAAGAGCACGCAGTACCTCTAGCAGCTTCTTAGCATCCTGCAGAAGGTTGAGACAGTATTTTATCCAACATCTCGCAATCTCTGCTCTCTTCTGTCTGAGCTGTTCCCTGCGTTCACTCTCTGTCTCACCTGGGTCAGACGCAAGGAGAAAAAGATGTGCCAGGAGAGGGGGAATGAATGATTGATATATGTGTGGAGGGATGAAGTGTCAGAAAGAGAAAGGAAGGGGATGGCTGATGAAGGGAGGTAGGGTTGGCTGCACAGATGTTACAATGCTTTGCTACACCGTCGTGTTCTCTCCTGTCTGACTTACTGTATTTGATTAGGGCTACAGAAGTCAGTATTTTTACTTTGATATGTACATTAATTAAAAGATTTAGATGGATACTTGCTCTCCTGTGCTGCGGCCTCAGAAGGAATCTCTCCTGCCAAATCTGATATGACAGTAGCTGCTGAGAGGCAATGTCTGCCTTCCATGTATCGGCCCTACAACACACACACACACACACACACACACACACACACGTTATTAATTATACTGAAAACAAACTACTGTGACAGCGCTAGTAAACACCCAGAGATGATCTTTGATTATTACAACCAAAATTCTTCAACTTGATGTAACCACAAGGAAGCATTTAAGCATTGGTGAACACAAGACAAAAAGAGATACTAAACCCTTTTAGATGTAAGGTTTTAAAATCACTTGTTTTCAATTACTTTAAATCAATGTATGCTCTACCTTAGTGATATAATATTGTGATAGTGTAGCAGCGTTCAGAGCCCACTCCATTGGACTGAACTGATTTAACTGTAACTGTCTCTGCAGGGTACTGTGGCAGTAGGTGGCAGCACGCTCAGTTTCACCTGGGAGACAAACACTATAGTTATTATGCTATTATAGTTATTAAGTACATTTTATATATGTTTTTCAGTATTTACTTTACACAAACCAATGAATACATACTGTTCTACTTATCTGATTGAAACAGGATCGGACTCACCAAGGTTTTTATAGACTTGAGCAAGGTAGTACATTGTGTGAGTGTAGGCCAACTCAAACCTGAAAAAAAAAAGGAAAATTGGAGAGTAAAAAGGAGAATGGCCAGATGGGGGAGCTATATAGAGAAATGTAAAAAGGGGTATGTTGCATGAGTGACCACTATCATATGAACTTTGGAATAATACTGCTAAAACCATCAGTTAATAGGTCTGTCAGTGCACATATGTGTGTATATGTGTGTGTGTGTGTGTGTGTGTGTGTGGGGGGGGGGGGTGTTACAAGTTACCTCTTTGTCCTTTCCTGGTGTGTCAGGAGCTTCTCCTCAGTAGTAAAGTACTCTGACATATCAGTGGGAGGACTCCCATCCTGAAACCCCCCCCCCCCAAAAAAAACAACTACTGATGAAGAGGATTTGACCATTGTAATTTTGAATCTGTTATATTTGTCTTTTTGATACCTAGTGCACTGTATTCACATTTGTTCTTAATTTAAGGAATTCATTTTAACTATAATATAGCACCTTCAAAAACTCAGAATACCGATGCAATGTCAATGGCATGTACACAAGTTATTATTAAAAATACAAAAATGCAATGCTCTTCCTTGGCTCCTGTCCTGACAGACTGGTAAATTATGGTTATGTGACAGTCTACAAGGTGTTCCCATTCAAGTGTTTCTCATGAGCATAATAGAGAGATCACAGACCAGTTGCCAGTAATCTCCTTTTTATATAGAGTCTATGGTAATCTCAGATGACAGTGATGGTTTTCTTTGGCCACAGTCCCTCCTGGCCTGTTGACAATACGTTAACCTACCGGCAGAACTGCCAGACAGGAAACCAATCTTACCTCCTTCATATAACGTTGGTAGATGGATTCTGCAGTTTCAAGGAACCCTTGAGCTGTCTCTGTCTCATCCCGGCCTGCCCAAAGGATGCCCAACTGGTTCTGATAACACAAACAGCCAATTACATGAGAAATAATAATTTAACGTTACTCCACAAGGCTTAATAATCAACTTGATGGGTTTGATAGAAAAAAAACAAACTAAACTGCTTCCCCACAGGCCTTCAACCCTCCTTCAATGTCAAGAAGTGGCGTTGCTGTATTAAGTTTAACAATGTTATAATTAATAAGTTCATGATGGTTGAATCGTAACAGCATCTCATTCACAATCATATCTGTCAATATTGTTTTTTATTTACAAATGCTGGCTTAACGTTAGCTAACGTTGTAGCCACAGTTTGTACACAACCTCTGCTGTAGTGTCAGAGAATATAGATAACTAGAGTTAACTTAACTGCTGTTAACGGAAAGCTAAGGGACAGTTAAAGCATCATTAAGTTAAAATGTCAACGTTACCCTGACATGGATAAACAGCGACACATTCTCAGAAGACACTCTGCATCTCTCCAGCAGTTTCATGCAGTTCATCAGATGCTCCTGTCCGGCTGACAGCTCCTCTGTGTCGACATGGTTCACGCCCAGATAGTACTCCAAAGCCCCGAGTTTAGCGGCCCGCAGCCCGGCTGCCGAGTCGCCGCTGAAGCCCTGGCCGAATACGTCCTCCCTCTGCCCGTCCACCAGCGGCTCTGTCGGCCGCTGGTCGCCGCTTTCTCCGCCGCTGTCCTCTTCACCTTCGCCGCCGAAACTCTTCAGCGAGCAGTATATTTCTCTGAGGAGCTCCCTTGCCTTATATTTGGAGCGAAACGGGTCATTTTCCGGGTCATTTCGTGATTCCACATCAGTGAGGTTTTGGGCGTTGGTGAATTTGTCGCAGATAGCTCTCCACTCGTTACTGCCGAGAGACGCCATGTTGGTCTTCTTCTTTATCGTTAGCATGCAACTGGTCCGTTTTATAGCATTACTGCCATCTCCTGGAATTAGTTAGGGTTATCTTTTTTGTTGTCAACTGTTCTCCCCATTATTTCCCCATCATTCTTTTTTCCTAAATATCAAACAACCATTTCCATTCTTACCCAGTAAGTATGCCAGTAACGTTATCAGGTTTTAGTTTGAATGAAATGATTTCACTTTCCTTGAATTTAATCTTTGTTTCCAAAGTATTTATAACCAGTGTAATTTACTAAAATGTTTAGGTACTTGCTCTTAACTTGAGTATTTTAATTTTGTTTGCTACTTTATACCTCTACTCCACCACACTGTAGGAGGACAATATTGTACTTTTTATTCTACTACATTTTTTTGACAGCTCTGGTATAGTCATGTTAACTTGCATAAAAATATGACACATTGTGATTAATTAAACTATGCAACACTATATAAAGAAGTGAATCGCAGGACTTCTACTTAGAGTATTTTCACTTTGTAATATTACTACTTTTACTCAAATACCACCAGTTGTTGATTGGCTCCCGATTGTTTATTGTCAAGTATACAGGAAATGGTGGTAAAACAAACAAAATTTTAATATATATTTAACTAGCTCTGAGAAATTGTTTTTCAGATCAAAGGTTGGTTTACTTAGTTAAAGCATTGATTTGTACTTTCTTTGTTGAAAATATGTGTTTAGTGTTTCTTTAGCAAGGGCATTAGGTTGCAGAGCAAAGGGTTGTTGAGAGTAAATACAGAGTAGTGGCCTCCTTGACAGAACTGGTGAAATATCTGACGTTGTAAAGGATAGCAGAATTGGAAAGATGAACTTCATGAAAAACAAATAAATCACTCACTCAACTGTGTTTAAGTTGGTTATAGCCAGTTTATTTCAACAAACCCAGAGAATCAAATCATTAATCAGGGAAAAATAATGTGAATTTTACATGACAATAAATTAATGTGAATGACATGACAACAACACAGTATATGTTTGGTCAGCACTGACAGAAGCAGCTTGTCTTACCTAGTCATGGAGAATTATAACCTAGACCGTCTCATCCCAGTTATACAACTTTACAGTATTGGCAACTTCACCACATAAAATGCATATGTATTTATTTATTTTGTATGATTTAAACATTTGTTTAATAATCATTATTTACTAGACTCTAACAAAACAATGCCAAACTGGATCCTCATACACACAGTCTTCATTGTACAGCATAATATCTTGCTCCGGGCCACAACAAACAAGACTTAGTTCTCCGTGTCCTTTGTGTTTAAGCAAAGGTTAATCAAGGAAAGTCCATAAGCCTACCCAGTGATAGTCGACCGTGGTGTGGACATATTGGCACAAACTGACCTTGGGCTAAGTTATCTATGTAACATCATTATTATTTTAATTACTAAGCAGACAAGAAAGTACTAAAAATGTTATGCTGATGACCTGAAATGAGATGGTTTGTGAACAATGATTGATTTAGACTAGCTTTAAAACTCTGCAAAAGCCAGTGGATCCAGTGTGCAAGGCATCCAACTGTCAGGGTTTTTACTTGACTATACATTTACCCACAATGTATTTTCTAATAATTTTTTCTATTTTCAAATCTAAAAATGAAGCACAAAATGGTGCAAGTGCTACGGGTTTCAATGATAAGATAATATGTTTAGATGTATGGGTTTTGATGTCCAGGTGTAGGTGTCTGTGGAAGCAGCAGGGTGCCACTCTGCAGTGAATGTTCTGCATCTGCTTCAAACTGCTATTAAGATCCCATCTTCTTCTCCATTCTGAAATAACAAAGAAACAGTCAGGGTGCATACAAATCACAAAAACAATCCCCCCCCCCCCCCCCCCCCATGTGTTTCATGATAAATGATCAGTTCACAATGACAGAAAAACACCTTTTTCTTACCTGTATTTGATGAGACGACTTCCCTGGATTAGCTGTGCTCCCTCATTGGTAAAATGGCAAGCAAACAGTAGCCAGTTGCGTGGCTGCACCTTGTAAGCGAACCTCATGAAGAGCAGTGAATAGCAGGACAGGGCTGTGCGGAGGGAAACACACAGCCAGTAGTTTATTAGAGCACTTTCTTCTTACAAACCATTTACTGCTGGACACTTTTTGCCCACAAAAAAGAAATTATAGAGTAATACTACAGTACTGACAAAGGTCAGTACAAACTCCTCTGCCAGGTATTATGTTCCTTTGAGACCCACTCATTCAGACTGTGACAGAAAAGGTACATTTACAGGAAATATCCAAAGTTACTGACAAGAACTGTGGCCAGGGGTGGAAATTAACACTTTCCAAGCGTCAAATGTGGGTAGATTTTGCGTTTGGCGGCCAAATGTTGGAAGGCTACCTACCACATTGGTGGGTGAACTTATTCGGTACAATATCACCATATAATATCTTTTTGGCGGTAGCTAACAGCGGATCAGCGTTGTTTTTTGTCGTGTGTCGCACTTAAATTGGTCCCCGCTGTACCAAGGGATCTAAAAATGAGGCTGAAGCAGAACATAAAAAAATCTTAATTAATGAGGAGGTTTAAGTTAACTGATAAAGCATGATTAAGAGTGAGCAGTGATGAGATTTAAGGTGATTAAGAAGCATCTTGTATGTTTATAAGACAATTTACATCATGTCTTAAGTAAATTTTATAGCAATAAATTTCAATCTGGTGTTTTCTTTAAATTTGTATTAGACAGAATAATTAAAAAAAAAGTACTTACTTATTAAAAGTACTGAAACAAATGCTTACGTGACATAAAAAGGCAACTTATTATTTTGGCCGGTAAAAAATATGTTTGGCCGGTGGATTTTTTTCATCTACCAGTCCCATTGGCAGGTGAGTCAAAAAGTTAATTTCCACCCCTGAATTTGGCTCTACTTTCCTTTAAAGAACTGTTTATTTCTAAGTAACCTTGAGCTAAAGTACAAATGACAACACTAAGAAAGTTAACTAGAGAAGGAATGGACGTATTGTGTGTGCCTTGCATATATACACATCTGGATTTATGTGTCGGCGTGTCTTACCGAAGGTCATCCTGCCACTGATAATCTCTGGGCTCTTCTTCATATCTGTGATGGCGGCTATGGGAAGACCCCAGTTTGCTACAGGGCCCCAGAAATGCTGTAAAGATACACAAAAGTGACAAAATAGCATTTTGGACCATTGACTTTATATGATTTGGACATTTATTTTGAGGTGGTTGTACAGCTGAACAGAAATATACAATTACTATCCAGCGAATACTTAATAGTGAAAGTTCTCTTGTGAATCTCATTATAAAAAATCTAAAATACATGGGAAAAAACACAACAGTAAAGTTGATAGACAGCAGCAGCACAGACAGAAAAAGACATACTGACAGAAAAGATAAGTCCTTACCGTGCTGTTGAATTGGGTTTTATTTGCAGGGTCACATAGATAAGAAAAGAACATAAATAATTAGCTTTGTTTGCACATTACTAAATAAGGTTATAATTAATGGCCATATCTACCACAGCATTCATAACAAAAGCTGATAAACAATTACTGTATTCCCTACACATTGACAAAACACACCACAGAAAGCCAAACAAACACCAGAGATGGTGCCAAAGTCCATACACGCCGCCATGTGTGCCTCACACTTTCACACTGCATTGGTTTGACTTTCAATTGGATTTTCAAGACACTGCATACACAGCTCTCAGATAACCATGTTTATCTGTGACAAATGTAAACAAAGATGGCCTCTCGCATCACTGTGGCATTTTTTTAACCTTTACTCTAAATGTGACGCCACCAGGGGGGCTTCATGTACAAATAAACCAACGAAAGTAATAAAAGCAGCCTTTGTCTCTAAAGCCAGGCTTGACACCGGACACCATTTCAAACAGCCCAGTTCACTACTGTACGTTTACATTTTTTTATTATTTTTACATTTTTATTCATTTAGCTGATGCTTTTATCCAAAGCGACTTAGAATTGCTATACATGTCAGAGGTCGCACACCTCTGGAGCAACTAGGGGTTAAGTGTCTTGCTCAGGAACACAATGGTGGATGGGTCACAGTGGGGGGATTGAACCCAGGCATCTTATCCATTGCGCCATCACCACCCCTTGTTAGAAGCAAAGCCTCTCACAAGTTACGGCCCATTTTCAAGGCTTTGTGACAGTTTTTAGAGTGTTTCTAGAGCAACTTACAACATATCCCTCCCATGTAGTTAGTGTAGTTAAGAGTCAATTTACAGCCAACCTCATACTGGAATAACAAGTTAAGTGAGCGCTACTAACGTTACTACAGAAAGCACAATCGTCCTTGAAAATTAACTAACAGCGAAAAACGATGCAAATGCAACACATATTAACACACAAAATGTTGGTGGAGTTTTATTTAAATGTTGGCTGGTAACTTCAGCCGGCTGTTAAACATTAGCTAACGCTACCTATCAGTAACCTCATGTTAGAACCTAACGCCGCCAACTAGCTACTTTAGCATGCATGCTAATACAAAATATATCAGCTTCCAATACATACCTCATCAAATAATCCCTGAAATCTTTGCTTTTCAGGTGGTCAATGGCTTTCCGTGCAATTGTCCCTGCCATGATTTAACGCTGTGCTGTTGTCTGTTTTGGCCGAGAAGAGCACTCTTTCTGTGTTGAAGGGCGACTAACAGCTAGCTCAGAGGACGACTGGTTAAATTTCTAACCATAACAATGGCGCTTTACGCCACTGTCGCAATTACTCGGCGCGACCGCTTCTTCTTCTTCATGAATTTTATTCAATAACAACGCATTGGTGCATTGTCGCCACCAGCTGGTATGGATGTGTGGATAAGAACATTCCTCCGTTTTGACCTCAGACAGCCCAAAACACACATTTTCATTTGTTTTGTGTTGAAACACAATATCTCTTCGAATCTGTCTCTAAATCAGTGTCAAACAAAAAAGCTATTAAGACTTCTTTAATAATTTGCAAATCATTCAGTAAAAAAGTCTATTAATTTATCTC